AATATTCCAAAGTCTGAAACTTCTGGTCCCAAGCATTTGGGATGAAGGATGCTCAGCCTGTATTACAAGCAGCATAAATCACTGAGTGTCACCCTTTAAAGAAGAGCATGAAACTTGGAATTAAGGCTTTCTGTAAACCAGCACCTCAAGTGGCCCTCCGTTCTCTCCCCCTGGAAGTCCCTTGTCACACACACTCTTTTCAGACTGGTGAGCACAGACTCTCTGGCTTCTGTGTGTGCTTCATGGAGCCTGGAGAATTCTGGATCTAGTAGAAGTGACCCACAGCCCCTCTGGGGTGAACTGAGAGGCTCTGAGACCTGAAGTCCAGAGGGTTCTGATGTGAGCGCTGGGCAGACAGAGGCTGTGGAGAAGCCTGGGAGCCCGGGACGTTGGCTCAGAGAGACCAGGGTTTGAATCCCCGCCGTGCTAATTACTAGCTGAGATTTCCCACATGGAAAACGGGGATGATGATGCTCCAGAGGACGGGAGGACACGGTGTGGGAAAAGCAGTCCACACAAGGGCATGAGGCCATAAACAGCTGCCACTACTAACTGCGGCTAATGATAAACTGTCCCCAAGGACGCATGGTGTCCATGGCAAGGAATTTTGTGGAAACTGCAGAGCAGGGAGGGCTGAAGACCTTCCTGAGAGCGAGAACAATATGTGGAAATGAATTCCGCTCAGACCTACTGGGTATTTTCTTTGTTTAGTGTGCTGTTTCCATTTTTGTGATTTACCAGACTCAAAACATGTATTTTCTCTTAAGAAAGTTGAGGCTATTGTTTGCAAGAGGCTGGGCTGACAAGAGGACAGGCATGAACCCAGCTGGGTCCTCACAGCAAGGACTGTTATCTTGACCTTCACCTTCCCCTCTCAGTAGCTCTGTGGTTTGGAGCGCTGGCGCCTGGGGAAATGCCTCTGACCTCCTGCCCTTGTGGAGTGGTGGGTACTGCCAGGCTTAGCAGAGACTCTTCCCCTTCAGCTGAGGACAGGGGAAGTGTCAAGGTCAGGAATTATTCCCTTTCCTTCCCTTTCTATATAATAAGAAATTAATTCAGAAAAAAAAAATTCCTAAAAAGCTAAAATAAGACAATCTCCCCCATAACTCTTAACGGCAAGAGAGGGCCATTATTGACATTTTAAGAAATCATTCCTCCAGTTTTTCTCTATGCGTTTAAATTATGGACTACTCACCAGTGTTTTACTGGGTTTTCTGCTTCATTGACCATATTGTGATTCTCTCCCCACATCATAAAACAGTCTACAAATCTTCATCATAGATGTGGAACAGTATGACCAGTAGTTATAAACTAGCCTGACATTTTATTTATTACTTATTTATTTATTTGCAGTGCTGGGGATTAAACTCAGGGGTGCTCTGAGCTGCAGCCCCATCCCTTTTTGCTTTCTCTTTTGAGACAGGGTCTCACTTAGTTGCCCAGACTGGCCTTGAGCTGATGATCCTCCTGCCCCAGCCTCCAAAACCACTGGGATTAGAGATGTGAAATCTGTAATTACATTCAAGATTTTCTTTTCTGTTTTACAAAACAAGTGAGAGTATTTGGGAAATTGTTGCTCAATTTCAGGCCCTGGAACGCCCCAAAAAAAACGCAATTAAGAAAAAGGTTTAACCTGCCTTTTTTTGGAGTGAAGATTTATATGGATGGTAAGAAGCAACTCTGATAATGTAACTCAGGCATCAAACAAATGCGTATGCTCTGTTAGACGCGTGATTGGATGACTCCTAGCATTATTCCTAAAGTAAAATTAAATAACTTTTTTGTAGCTGTAAATCAATGTTGCACAAATGGACGTTTAAGAGGAGAGCATCTTCCCACTCTAAAGTGGTGGACAGCAGGAAAAAGAAAAAGAAGAAGCTGTCATATTGGAGCCAGTCTCATACAAAGGCCTCCTTACAGACAAAAAAATTTTATATATTTTATAAATCTTGCTCTTATTCAAATGGTTACTTATGAACAAGCGGTACTTAATTTTCTATTATCACAGTCACGTTTCCCTGATCGAACCACCTGTTCTTCAGATTCATTCTCTACTCTTTGAGATTCACTGTCCAATGACTGGATTTTTGATTCACTAAGCAATTAAATAGGAAAGGGTTTATTTGATCCAACACTGTCATTTTAAACCTCTACAGTTTCAATCTTCTGACATGTTTATTTTGTCCTGAAACAGAGGTTTGTCCTGCATCTATTCTTACAAGGTGAGTTGGAAAATGGCAATTATCAATCTTGAAAATAATAGAAGTTTTCAATGTCTTTTCAATGCCTGAGTCTTGTCTCCAATTGTATCTGAGAGAGAAACCTTTCCACAGATGTACATAAAAATGTGGGGACCCCAAATGAATCTATTGTTATTCTGTTTTGTTTTGTTTTTTTCAACTAGCCAGCAGGGGTAGCTGGGAGGTGAAGGATGCGGGTAAAGACTGCTAACACAAAGATAAGAGAAAGCAGAACTTTGCACACGCATCTGCTAATAGTTCGCCCATTCAAACTTATGGGCATGGTGGTGCACGCCTGTAATCCCAACAGTTCAGGAGGCTGAGGCAGGAGGATTGCAAGTTCAAAGTCAGCAACTTAGTGAGGCCCTAAAGCAACTTAGCAACACCCTGCCTCAACATAAAAAATAAATAAATAAGAAAGGGCTGGGGATGTGACTCAGTGGTTAAGAAGGCCTGGGTCCCATCCCTGTCCCCTCCCCCCCATGCAAACTTTTACGAAATACTATAAAACCATGTAGCCACAAACTAGCAATATAAGAAGAAATGCCATTTTTAAAAGCAGGATGATTTGTAATTACAGAAGAGCACACAGTTATTCAGGTCATTTGGGGAGCAGAGAAGATCGGGCGGGTTTACGTATATGACAATCCAACAGCCAGATTTTTCCTTTTCTTTATCCCAAACCCAAGTCCCCAGCCAGTGGGAGGCGGGCCCAACCCGTTAGTTAGATTGTGCAAAGCTTGTCAAGATCCTCCGATTTCCCTAATGTGGTCAAGAAAAGGAGGAAGTTCTCTTCTCTGTTGATGGTGCCACTACCATGATCTCGGCTCCCCCGTCCTCTCCGGTTCCACTGAAGGGAATGTGCAGACATTTGAACACGTTCTTCTTCTGGGGCGTTTTTTCTTCTGTTACATGTAAGGCCACGTAACCGTCTTGAGACTCGAATCGCCACGCTGAAGCATCGTGTGAAAAATGAGCTTTCTCATGTTCTTTTTCTCTCTTTCAGTTCAAAAAGCTGTACTGAACTGTAATACCATGAAAAAAAATGGTAAGTTTCCTTTTCTTCTTACTGAAGTTACCTTACTGGAAAGGGTGAGATCGACGATCAGCCTTAAACGTGACTGCTCACTTGTAAGTTTTTTTGTTTGCTTGCTTGCTTTTAGATAAGAACAAAGACTTTTCAGGTCAATACACTATTTAAACAGTGATTTTAGGGAGAGCGTTGGAAAGTTTCTTCTGAGTCTCTTGTGACAAAGTTTTGAGATTGCTTTTACAATGAATGTTTCTCGCTTTCTTGCATTGTTGTTGTTCTTCAACTAGAAAACCCAAACGCATCGTCATTGCCAAATAGTTCAAGCAACACTAGAAACGTGTATCAGAGGGCAGGCTGGGTGGGGTAGCGCATGCCTATAATCCCAGCTACTGGGAGGGTAGAGGCAAGAGGATCCCAAATTCAAGATCCGCCTCAGCGCATGTGGCTCAGTGGTTAAGCACCGCTGGGTTCAATCCCCGGTACCAAAAAAAGGCAGCATTAGACCACTTGATCCTCATCCTGGTTCTGCTGTTGACCACCTGGCAGCCTGGGCAAATGACTTAAACCCTTTACTTCATGTTTCTCAACTGTGAGGTGGAGTACTAAAAGCCCTGCTGGGAGAGTCCTCCTGAGGGTTGAGTGCCACAGTCCTTCCTCCTCCAAACAGCTCCCAGCAAATGGAAGGCCATTGATATGCACTGATCTTATTCCATATACCTTCTTTATTCCTGTAAAAAAATGAAAGTGCAGTCACATTTCCTCCAATCCCTTTCTATTCTCTATTTCTAGAATAGACCACTATTAATCATGTTTTTCTATCCAGGATCAGTGGAATTTTTTTTTTTTTTCAGGGCTGGGGATTGAACCCAAGGCCTTGTGCATGCGAGGCAAGCACTCTAGCACTTAGCTACACCCCAGCCCTAAATAAATTCTTTTATAACTTTTCTTTTGTAAAAAAAAAAAATGTAACCATGTATCATAGATATCCTCGTAAGTAGAAGATATAGATTTATCTCATTTGTTCAACAGTTGCATGGTATTTAATTAATTTATGGTTTTTGCAGTACTGGGGATTGAACCCAGAGGTGTTCTCCCACCGAGCTACATCCCCAGTCCTTTTTATTTTTTAATCTTGAGACAGGATCTTGCTAAATTATTGTGGCTGGCCTCAGACTTGTGATCCTCCTGCCTCAGCCTCCCAAGTATCTGGGTAATTACAGGTGTGCACCACTGCACCCCCATGACATGGTATTTTATAATATGATGCAGCGACAGTTCATTTTTATTGATTATTCCACTTTTTCTCATAATATAAATAATACTGTAATAGACATCCCTGTACAGAACACCTTTTGTGGGCCAATGGGAGCATCTCTGTACATCCTAACAATTGAAATTGCCAGATCAAAGGAAACAAGAGTTAAATTGTTGCAGATTCTCAATTGCCCTCCCACTAGGCTGAAGCTGCGGGGGTCACCAACAGTGTGGGTAAGTGTGAGCTCATCCCACCAGCCCCAGCAGTGGATATAACAGTTTATAAAATTTATGCCAACCTAATGAGAGCAAAATGATATCCCAGTATTTTAATTCACAGTTGTCTCATCTCCTGTAAAACTGAACATCTGTTTCATGTTCATTGGCCGTTAATGCTCCAGCATTCCCTTGTGAAGGAAATGTGGGGATGGCCATCCAGGTTGGAAAGGGAAGGTGGTGTTTTGAAGTTGAGCTAAAAAAGACTGAGAAAATGTTAATTATCCAGATCAAAGAGTGGGAGGGAGCTGAGGGCATAAATCTGTCTTCCACCCAAACCCGTGTTTGGGGTGTTTGGTTCCCGTGGTATTTAGTGGTCATCTGCATTTCTTCTTCTGATAATTACCTGTTTATATTTTTTACCTGATAATTTGATTGTTGGCCTTTTTCTTGTTGATTTGAAGTTGATTTCTGTATATTGAAAAATCCACTGGTTTTATTTACTTTTAAAGCATTTTGTTCTAGACTGTCACTTGACTTTTAATTTTGTCATAGAGGAGTTTAAAGTTTGGGGGTAGCTAAGAATTTTCAATCTTTTTTTTTTATGGCTTCTAATTATTTTGTTCTATTTTTTTGTGGCTCCTAATCTGGCCTAAAATATTTCCTTGTATTTCTCTTCACTCTTTCATAGTTGTTTTTGTTTTGTTTTGTTCATTTGATTTTCTGATGGGGTTCTTTTTTCTCTCAACATTTTATTTATTTATTATTTATTTATTAGTTGTAGGTAGACACAATACTTTTATTTTATTTATTTCTATGTGGTGCTGAGGATAGAACCCAGGGCCTCACATGTGCTAGGCAAGCACTCTACTGCTGAGCCACAATCCCAGCCTCTTCCCTCAACATTTTTAAGGACAAACAAACAAGTTATCAAACACACTGGAATTGTCCAAAAAAAAAAATTTTTTTTTTGGAAAATTAATGAAAAAAGTGACAGTAAGATTAATAACCGTAAATAATTGAAACCTAGAGCCTCACACATGCTAGGCAAACGCTCGCTACAGCCTCAGCCCATGTCTCTTTCTTAATACAGAAATTTATGGACAAAAAACAACATATAGTCAGAGATTTGCTTTAAAAACAGTCCATTTTCTATTGATGATAGCAATAATACTACAAACTAAGTCATTCAGAAAAAAGAACAACAACAACAACTTTATTTGGCTCATGGTTTTGTTCCTAGGTCAGGGGCTGCTTCTGAGGGTGGCTTCCTAGTGGGCAGAGTCCCAGGAGTCCCAAGGAGTCCCAAGGCAGCTCATTAGGACACACATGTGTCCTAATGTGGTCCTTCTCCCTCCTCCCC